GGCCCAGAAAATCAAGTTCTTTTCCTTGAAAGCTCCACTAGTCATCCTACTATGCAGTCAGGGTTAAGGGCTATTGATTTAAAGTAACTTGAATACGTTCCTATTCTGGAAAAGTATATGGAAATAGTCCACATAACAGAGGGATAGCTCACTGTGTTCTAATGGATTAGGATTCAGGGGAGATGCTCCCCCTCCCTTCTCCCCTGCCATCTCTCTGTGTCCCCACCCACCCACACGCCCGCTGCCACCACTCACTGTCCCGTGCCTGAGTTTTCAATGATGATCTCGCTCTCCAGAGAGCTTTTGAAGCCAGGATACAACAAACTAAAGAGAACTAGAACCAATCCCAAATGCCGAATCATCTACCATGTCAAAATGAACCAAACACAAGATCTCTTCAAATATTTAATCAGTTTGGAGACCTCTGCCTTCCAACCCAGTTGGGTGAAAATTCTAAAGAAAGCATGATTAAGGGGTCCTCAAAGAAAACGTTGGGCTAAAATGGACAGGAGACTGGGTTTGGGAAGACAGAACATAACATGTGCCTTTTGAAGGAATTATTCTACCACTGATTAAAAAAATACTCAAAATGAACAAGAAAGGATTAAACAGTTATACAAATTTAAGGACAACTAAAACTTCTTTTATGGCTGAAAATACCAGACATGGCTTTGAAATAGACTTAGAAAACCCTTAGATCCTGCTGTGGTTTCATTCCTTAGCCTTCTCTGTACATGCAAGAAGCCAACTAGCTACACCCAGCATCCCCATGAGCTCTCTGGGCCTTGGCAAAGAAGCGATCAGCGAGAGATAGAAAGAAGGCATGGAGGAGGTGAGAGGAAGCTGTTCACAGTCTTTGGACGTGGACCCAGACCCCAGCAATCCTAATCTATTTTCTTTGAAAAATATGGAGATAAACCGAAGGCCTTGAAAAATCACCATCGATCTCAGGTCAGGGTGCCGATGATAATGCATTGCGATAGCTGCGCCGTAGGAACCGGGAGAAGCATGTCCTTCAGGGTGACGGGTCTACAATGATACAGGCGTGCTCGGGACTCAGGGCTGACTCCTCAGGAGACGTTCAGCAGGAAAGGCGTAACGTCTGTCTCGCTCTCGTTCTCCCTCTGGTTTCTTCTCTTCCCCTGTCCCTTGGTGCTGTAGAGAGGCAGTGTCGGAGGCTCCAGCCCGGGGCTCAGAACGGGTACTGAGACACGTATATCCGCAGTCGGATCACAGAGCTGCCTCTGAAGTTGATGACCGTGTTGACAGTGATCATTTCCAAGTCCAGCTGTATTTCCCGGGGCCCTTTGATGGGGCGTGTCATCACCAGGGTGGCACTGATGGGGCCCGTTTGCTGTGGACGGAACCGGAGATACTAGTTAGAGAAGGTCTGCCCCGCTTACGGAGCCAGGGTGAGTTTGACCTCAGAAGCTGTTGAATGATGGCAGGGAGGGTGGGGAAAGCTGTCCATCGGGAGATGGGGCCTCTCAGACAGTCACCAAAGCAGAAGGCCTGGTGGTCTGGCCACAGTCGGCCTCGGCAGCCCCAGTCGGGGCACTCCCCCTTGCCTGCTGCCAGCAAACTGGCATCCACCAGTCGGAAAGCCACACTCATGCTCCACCTGGCTTGTTCCTGCTGCCCCTTCAGGTCTCACCTGAAATACCCCCTCCTCAGAGGCGCTCCTCTGCTTTCCCCAGTCTAACTCAGGTCCCTGTGACCCTCTGCCAGGCACGCTCTACCTTGCCTGGGAAGGAAAAAACTCATTACCACGTGTCACTGTCCACTCTGTTTTCTTGGTCCACGTCTGACGTCTAGGTCCACACTAGATAATGAGCATGTAACAGCGAGGACCGGGGCCACCCCTGGACCCCCCAGGACCCAGCATGGTGCCTGGCATGCAGTAAGTGTTGGTGAATGTGCCCTGTATGAGAGGACGAATAACTGATGGAACCAACCACGTGACTCAGGGCTGTCACTTCGCTGCCCTGGGCCTCCTCTCTAAAGTAAAGGTTTGTACCAGATCAGTAGTTCCCAAGTGAACAGCTCTAAAGCATCTAGGACACTTTTTTTAAACTAACAATTCCAGGGGCCCAGTGCAGAGTCTTCTGCTTCAGTGGACTTTTAGTTGATGCCTGGGGAATGGGACTTTTTTACCAGCCTCCAGGTGGGTCCGAGTGCAGCCTCTGCTGGAACTCCAGGCTGGAATCTTGTCCTCACCTCCAGCTTCACTGCTCTGTGACCCTATCACTGTGGTCTTAATAACTTCATGTGAGCTTTTTTCTTCCACTGAATCTTTTTCTACAACTTCCAAGGAGGTAAGGAGAGAGGACCAACTTCAGCTGAACTTCCACCATGTGGGAGATGCTCTTCTGGCCACTTTTATATCTATGTGCTTTTTTAGTCCCTGTAAAAACTCTGAAAGGCCTGACTACTCAATGTGTGGTCCCTGGACCAACAGCATCATCCTCACCAGGGAGCTTGTGAGAAATGCAGGATCTCAGCGCCGCCCCGCCCCCCACTGAGACCAACTGAGCCAGAATCTGTAGCTTAACACAATCCCCAGGTGATTTATGGGCACATTAACAATTGAGAAGCTCTCATCTAAAAGCACAGGACCCAGCCTGGGGACCCTAGCTGCCATTCTGCAGGTATGTCTCATTACATCCCCATTTTATAAACAAGTGAACTGAGGCTCAATGAAGTTAAGTCATTGCTTAGGGTCACTAGACCAGTCAGGGACAGAGACAAGATACTGCATTCCAGTGCTTCTGTCTGACTTCAAGCCCCAGGATTTTTTCACCACACAGCAACTATCAGAAAAAAACTGCTGTGAGTTTTACTTCTCCCTAGTACGCCCCTGAAGAAGAGATGCTCAGTGCAATGGCCAGATAATGGGCCCCTGGAAAGGAAATAGCATAAGGGAACAGGACATGCTGGACGATTGCTTCCTACAAGCTGCTGAGGCCAACATTGTACCCAGAAACTGAAAGCAACAAGCTCTGCAAGACCAAGAGGCGTGGCTCATTTAAAGCTACACCAGCGTCTTATCTGTCTCCACGAAGGGAGGTCTCCCCCAAGAGCTGCCACAGGCATGGCAAGGGTAGGGCAGGCAGATAGGTGCTGTCCAGGTACTGGGACCTCCCTGTCCTCTGGGCTATCGGCAGCCCGACAGCCACGTAATTTCCTCCTGGCACCGGCTCCCTCCATTCCTGTCAGCATCCACGCAATAGGTACCTTCTCACGCAGAGGCTCGCTCGGACTTCCTTGTCAACTCTTGGCAAAATCTCAGAGCCCTGGGCCAGGACTCCAGAGGGTATGGCCAAACAAGGAAATACCCAGGGCATTTACACATACAAATATCTCACCAGCTTTCGCTGTTTGCATGAACAAAGGCCAAGGGTTGAGGACCCTGAGCTGTGGGTAGACCTCTGGAGGGTGAGCTGCAGAGCCTGGGATGGGGACGGAACAGCTGGAAATGTCCCAGTTGTTCCTTTGGCCTGTCCCTATAAAAAGTCTCCAGAATGTGAGAGGATCGTTGCCTCTCCTGTTTGGAAGTAAGCTTAGAGGTTCAGCCAGTCCCATCTCCACGAGGGTCAGATCTGCAGCAGCCTGAGAAAGGCCTGCCCACGAGCACATGGAGGACTCAAGTGTCTGCCCAGAGAGCTGAGGACAGCCATCTTCAGTCCTCACTGGGCTTTTAGGGAAGAGCCAAGGTATTAATGAAATAGCCAACCCCCCTGCCCCCAAGAGGCCCTGGCCATTGATGGGCTTGCTGGTCATTGGTACAAAATGATGTTGGTGGCGATGGCAGTAGTGGTGGTGGTAGATATTGGCATTTGGCTATGATCCTACATACATCTCCCATTTAATCCTCATAATCCTACAAGTTAAGGAGGTTGAGTACACTACAGAAGGTCACGAAACTGGCACATGTCACTGTGAATGAAAAATATTGCCAGCCGTGTCAGTAAACTCAGGACGCAGACAAGCAGGCAGCCCGGGCTCTGCTGCCACCTCCAATGGTGCCGCCTGAGGAAACTCAGGGTGGGAGAGAACAGGATTCTGGCCCTGAATAGCTAAGGTGCACATCAAAGGAATGGTTCTAATAAGCCCAGACCTTTGCACCTTCCCCTGCATAGGAAAGTCCTCAATTTCCTAATTTGAGGTATTTGGTTTTCTTTAATTAACTATAATCTTCTGATGTTCCTTCTACCTGGTCTTTGTGGCAAAACTCCTATATATCCCGGCTCCTCCCCTGCCACTTTGGAACGGTTTCTTAGAGTGATCTGAGAGGCTGCCTCCTGGGTTCAGGTCCTCAAAAAGCCCACCAAATAAAATCATAACTCTCAGCATTCAGGTTGTGCCTTTTTTAGTTGACAGTACTAGGAATGTCTGACTCCAAAAATCAAGCTTCTAGTCCCTAAGCTCAATGATAAGGTCTCAGCA